GAGTGACTTAGGATCGATATCTGTACTATAAAAAAGGGAAATCTTTGGCTAAGCGGTTATCGAGTGCCACTAGGTGACATGATTCTTGCATATGCATTTAGGAACCTAGTGTGCTAACCTTGACCCTTGTAAAATACTTTGAAAAATGCTAACACATGTGCACATAAGTTCTACACTTTGTGGTTAGCAAGTTGGAAGCAAAGACAAAGTGGTTGTGGACTTAGAAAAAGAAAAGGAGGAAGAAGTCCACAACCGGACGCTGGCCACGGGGTGACCGGACTCACCCCGGGCACATCCGGTCAATTTTAACCAGGTAGCGCGGCTGGCCGAGAGCGGTAAGGCGCGACCAGACGCTGGCCCAGCTTGATCGGCGCGTTCGGTCACAGGTTGGTTCGTGGCGCGGTAGCACGATCGGACGCTGAGACGAGCGCAGAGAGGCAGTGTGTGGACCGGACACTGGGGCGCGTCAGGTCGCCCTTGACCTGACATGTCCGGTCAGTTGAAAACTGCTCTAGAACCTCTTTGGAAATGACCGGGCACTGAGGGATCGTGAGTCAAGTGGCGCAAGCAGCGAGTCCGGTCGTCACTTGACTAACCGCGTTGACCGTTTTTGACCGTTGGAGATCAACGGCGCGGGTTCAAAGCATTGACATGTGGCATAGGATCCTCGACCGGACGCTGGCTCAGGCACTTCTGGTCAACTCGACCGGCATGTCTGGTCAGTACGCAGGGTGCCCCACTTTGGCTCTAACGACTCTATTTGTTTGGGGACGTCTATAAATAGTGTTTGGCTGGCTCCAAGGCATCTTTCTTGGCACTTTGACATACTTGACATCACATCCTTGTGAGCCTAATCAAACACCTCCCACTCATCTCCATCATTGATTCATCATCATAGTGAGATTGGGAGTGATTCTAAGTGCATTTGCTTGAGTGATTGCATCTAGTGGCACTTGGGGATCGTTGTGGTTGTGGATTTCTTTTTTCTCATGGTGGTTGCCGCCACCTAGATGGCTTGGAGCAGTGGAGGAGGATTGGCACGAGTTGGTGATTGTTCATGGCCATCTCCTGATGTTTGTGATGGGTCTTGTGCCTTCCCTAGCGGAGCGCCGAAAGGTAACTCTAGTGGATTGCTCCTATCATTGAGTTACCTCACTTGTGGATAGGTTCTTGCGGTGTCCAATTGTATGGACGAGGTTCGTGCAACACCTCTTAGCCGCCGAACCACCAAGTGTTGGTCGACACAACGGGGACTAGCGTGCTGGCAAGCACGTGAACCTCAGGAGAAAAATTGGTTGTCTCTTGCCCTTTGGTATTCTCCCGGTGATTGAATTGGTATTCATCTTGTGATTGGTTCAATCCTCTATGCGACGGTATAATCACCCTACTCACTCATTTACATTCCCGTAAACTAGTTGTAGCAAGCTCTTTACTGTAGCTAGAATTGAGAGCCTGCTTTATAGTTTAAGTTCATCTAGTGGAGCTCTTTAGTGTAGCAAGTTTGAGAGGCCTTAGTGAGTAGCAACTTAGCCTCTTGTGTGTCTAGTGATCATAGCAACTAGAATTGTTGGATAGGTAGCTTGCAACCCTTGTAGAGTTAGAGCAAGTTTGCATTTCACTATTTGTCATACTAATCAAATTGCTCTAGTGATCTTGTAGACTTTTAAATAGGCTATTCACCCCCCCCTCCTCTAGCCATATTAGGACCTTTCAGACCTGCGGTGGGTCCGGCAGTGCGATGACACCATGGTAGGGACACATCGAAATTGATCTTCACTTTGTCTGCGAACACGTGTTGACTGGGGTGGTTCGGGTTTTGCATGTCCCCACCTCGCCACAATATGCCGATGTCTTCACTGGAGGCTACCATCTTTGGTCCCATAAGTTTAGATCCACTCTAAACGTTCTTCCCTGTGGCTGGCCACACTCAGACGATAGGAAAGGGGGTGTTTGATAAATACTGCAATGTACCCTTGCATGGCACTATTGAATTGTTTGGCCGAGCACCCAGACGTCTAGACGCCCGCGCCTACTGCCTGCCGATGCGCCTAACGCACTCCCTCTGCATGCGGCAGGGAACTGTGCTGGCGATGCACTTCCCTAGATGCATGCGGCCAATGGAAGGGACGCGTGCACCGTGCCTCCGCCTCCCACTTTGCCTGGGTAGGCCCCACAATGCATGCATGCAACTCCTGCACACCCGCCGACACGCTGCTGCCGCATCTCCGCGCGTGTTCCTACTGCTATTATTGTCGTGCGCTGCTGCTACCACGCCTGGCGGCCGAGCCCCGCCTGCTGCTGCGGTATGCATGCGCCTGCCCATGAATGTGGGGGCCGCCACACCCGCTTTGCTTCCCACATGCACGAGGCGACCACCCCCGTCTGCGCCTTCTTCCTGCGTCTAGTCATGCAATACTTGCAACATAAAGCATTTGCTGCAACATACGTCCAAAATAAATGAAACATTTACAAACATACGCTTGCAACATATGTGTATAGCTAATGCAACATATGCAATATACAGATAAAACAATAGCAACATATGTTTGAAACAAGTGAAACATTTGAAACATACACTTGTAACTTACGTGTAAGGCTGGATAACGAGCCGGCTCGGCTCGTTTTGGCTCGGCTCGTTCTGGCTCGTTAAGATAACGAGCTAGCTCGGCTCGGCTCGTTAAAAGCTCGAGCTGGCTCATTAAGCTTGCGAGCCAGGTATAAAAAATACACAAAATATAATATTTGCATTTATCTAAAGTTTGAGAATAATAATAATACAAAAGAAATGAATCCAACAACCTTAAATCGAATAAAAAAATTAATATGCGCTAATATATATACAAGTATAATAAAATATTATAGTATTCATGCATCTAACTACCTTAAATGATACTTTTTTCCTGGAAGCTTGGCTCGTTTAGCTCGCGAGCTAGCTCGAGTTGGCTCGTTATAGCTAACAAGCTAAAATCTTGGCTCGGCTCGGCTCGTTATCTTAACGAGCCGAGCCGAGCCGAGTCAAGCCAGCCACGAGCCGAGCGAGCTAACGAGCTTCGAGTTTTTCGTCCAGCCTTACTTATGTGTATAGCCAGTGCAACATATACAGCATCTAGATAAAATACTTGCAACATATGTTTAAAATAACTGAAACATTTGAAACATACACTTGAAACATACGTGTATAGCCATTGCAATATATGTAACATCCAGATAAAGCACTCTGCAATATACGTTTGGAACAGCTGAAACATTTGAAACACTTGCAACATACGTGTATAGCCGTTGCAACATATACAACATTCAGATGAAACATATGCAACATCCAGATGAAACATACATCTGAAACCCATGAAATTAACATACGGAGCTAGATGGCATGGAGTGACGGAAAAATTTGGCCCAACACTCGGCTGCCATGCAGATGTGGGCCCACGCTTCTCTCACAAACAGGCAAGCGGCCTGACCAGCCCTGCAATTGGCTAAGCACCTAAGCCGATCAGCCAAAGCAGCAACGCGGCAGGCAGCATGCGGCAGTGGTAGCTTGGCCTGGGCGCAAACAACACACAGAGAGAAAAAGAGCAGCACGACAAGCAGCAGCAGGCCTAGGCACAGCAGAGGGCAGGCACGGCAGGGAGGCTTGTGGCCCTGGGCGCGTGCAGCTAGGGGCCTGGCCGGTTGGTCCAGCAAGTCCTCTCTCTATGGTCACGCGCATGCACGGGCCCCCACGCGCCGCAGGCACCCCGAATAAGTGGCCACACACGCTCCCAGGGTGCGGACTCCGCCTGACTGTAACTACACGCCCCTTGTTTTTGGGCTTAAACGTCACGCAGGGTCGGTTGGTCTGTCGTCCGAACGCCCTCAATCAAGCATTACCGTTAATTTAGTATTCTCTGTTCAGCAAGTCTGATAGGCCTTGGCACCTTCCTATCCACCGAATAATGCTTCTATGAGTATGTTCGATAAGGTAGCCTCTGCTGATATATGTACTTGTCACCTACGATTAATTCTATACATGAATTCCATCGTCTATCAACGTTTGATAATTTTTTTTCTTACATTGCAACACACGTGTAAATTTGCTAATAGTACTATAATATAAATAATACCAAGCAATCACTCCTTTTGCATATTGCCTAACATGTTGCCTTCTCGATCACACACGTTACACGTACACTACTTATGTTCCAAAATAAATGTCGTTCTTGCTTCCTGATAAGTCAATCATTTTTTATTTTGACCAAATATATATATATATTTATATTTATAGTATATAATTAGTATTATTAGATAGATCACGGAATCTAATTTCATAATATACTCATTGAAGTTACAAATATTACAATTTTTCATAATATACTCATTGAAGTTACAAATATTATAATTTTTTCTACGAACCGTAGCGACATTTAGGGCGTGTTTGGGTCGTGCCTTGGGAGGCATCTACCTGGCCTGATCTGTCACGACATTACTTCACCATCATCTAGTTTAACATCAATAGAGTGGAGTTTGGGGGGAAATCTAGCTATTACACCCAGCAGATCGCTCGTCGCCGCCTCCGGCACAGCTGGCCGTGTTCGTGTTCCACTCCGTTCTGCCGATCCCCTTTCCCTCCCTCCTAGATAACGTTGGCGATCAGCCGATCCTACACGGCTCTCTTCTTCCTGGGCCGCCCAGTCTGGGCAATGGTAGCGCGGGTTGGGCCTTGCATCTCTTCTGGGCCGTTTCTTCATACTCCCACTCCCGGCTTCAGCGTTCCCGCCTTGATCTTCCCCTCCGTCAGCTTCCAGAACGTCGTCTTCAGAACTGGATGTCGCCGGGGTCGTGACATGATCCTGACCCATGCGTCTGCGGTCCGCCTGGGAGCCCTGCTGGGCCAGGAGCTGACCGGAGGCACGATCCAAAGAGGCCCTTATTTTATGGCGGAGATAGTAGTTTGCAGCAACATGCACCAGTACAGGAGGTACAACTGCAGCGTGCGCCTGACCCTGAGGAATACGTACGCATTACACCTGCACTGCACTTGCCCATGCGCCTGACCCTAAGGAGGAGGAGGAGCGAGCAAACTTCGGGTTCGGTGCTTGCCACTCCGGCAGCCCGACCGCACGCTGGCCTTCTACAGTCACGTCCGTAGTAGCCGCCGGCAGGCGGAGCAAGACACAGGACATGATCCCAAGCGAGGTGGTGATGAGGCTAAGCACGGCCGCCCTGACGAAGATACCGCCCTTGAGTAAGTAGCACTCCTCCTTGTCGGGGCCCGCGATTTTGGCTCGGCGCGTCATGGGCGCGTTCAGCGCCGCGCCTACCCAGAAGTAAACCACAGCGATCACCGCCGCTACCCTGCAAATTAACCACACCAGTTTCACTTTGAGCCTCTTGGCCTCGGCTATGAACCCCAGCACGGCGCTCGTCACTCCGAATAGCGCCACCACGCCTGATACGAGGACCGCCACGGCAGTCTGCATATTGATCCCTGTTGCCTCTGTGCCTCTGTCTCTCGGTCGTAGCAGCTAGGGATCTGAGATATCGGAGACGATGAAATGGCTCAATGCTCTGTACTGTTGCTGGCTTTGATCAACAATGAACTACTTATCTGTACTCCTATATATAGGCATGCTCGTGTTTTAATTATTATGTATAGAGAATAACGTCCTTGAGACTTGAGAGTGTCGCCTGAAAGGTTATGTCGCGACAAACTTATGAGAGTGATCTGAAGAACAGTGGCGCTAATCTGGTACAAAAAAGCGCATCGATCGTGCCACCTGGCATCTACCGGACGCTTTCCTTGTAATTACCTCGCTTACGGACAACAAACATGGAGTCTCGCGCCAAGCCAGATCGATGATAACACAATTTATTGGTCCAGTTCAACAGCGCGATGATTATACATAATAAATAAACTACCATCCTCTCTTGAGCTGACGACGACGACGACGACAAATTAAATATGCGACGATCGATTGCACGCCACTCACCCGATACATCTGCATTGCCAATATCACCTGGTGGTGGTCTGGTCCAGGACGCAGCACGCCGTCAATGGGCAGGAACGACGGCAACTTCGGGGGTGTACACACCATCGAACCTTGCCAAGTGTATATTCGACAGATGCCCGGTTTTCCAGTAGCCGAAACGTTCCCGGACCCCGCAATTCAGCCTGCAAAGCAGCTCCTGATTTGTATAATGCAAGGGGCAGCGAATTTTTATGCATGTTTATGGCGACACACGTGATTACGCCTTAGACGAACGTATTAATAAATATATAAATCTAATTACATAGAAAATATAAAGCATATTTTGGGATGCTTGTCACCGTGTCTAGATCTAGTTTATAGAAACCTAACAAAATTAATTTCATTTTTTCAATTAATACTTATATAATTTATTACTATGTATTTTCAGAAATTAATAAAAATATAATAAACACTTTTGCATTGGGAATCTTTCAATTTTTTTAATTAATCCTTATGTAATTTAGTACTTCTCCGTATGTCACTATGTGGCCCCGTTCGGCTGGCAGAATTTTGGTTGAAATTGGCTGAAAAGCACTGTTCTGGCTGGATTGTTGTGAGAGAAAATACTGTTCCGGCTGAAAAAAGAAGCCGAACAAGCTGAATATGGGATAAGCCGAACGGGACCATGTTTTCAGAAAGTAATAAGAATATAATAAATACTTTTTTATTAGGAACCCTAAACTATTTTTCAAATTAATTCAGGTCTTCCTCTAGCCATGTGGTGTTATTCTCTCCCGCAGACAACCAGGGAACGGACTCGTCTTACACTGTTTGTTGGGCCCATGGTCGCTTAGGGCAAGTTCAACCCAAAGACCTGATATCGTCTATAAGTATTTTGAATAGCGCACATAGACAACAGAATAGACAACTTATTTAGTTGTTTGATAAATTGTCTATATAGTATTTAACGTACACATGGACACATAATTCATGGGGATCAAGCATAAATTTGAACTCTGTATGTATGCTATTTTATAGCTTGCTGAGAAAATGCACGGTGATTTCAAACAAGTCATGAAATTCTCCCGTAGCTCCTCTCTTACTCTCTTACCTGAGAAAATGCCTAGTGTTCCAACCATCTTTATCCGTTTCTCTCCTCGCTTCTATCTCTCTCTTATCCTTTAGCTGTGTGGTGGTAGCCAGCCAAGCTCCCATGTGCTGCAAGCTTCACCCTTTTTGCTTCTTTCTCGAACAAAAAACCACGGCGGCGGCATCGGAGCATGGCTGCTCGCACGCGTCGGCCCGGTGGTCGTGCAGACGCGCGGGCACGCGCGCACGGATGAGTGGGGCGCCGACGCGCGGGCGAGCGCGCAGGGCGACAGGGCAATGGACGCAGATGATTCTCGTCTCGGAAATTTCCACCGATTCCGAATCCACGCGTTTGACCGGGACGCGCGCACTTTTTTTTTTGACAAAAAACGGTCCGTATTTTTTAGTGGTATATATAATAATAACAAACTAGTAAGGTGGTCCGCGTAAAAATTTTCATTATAATATTTGGTTTTATTTACTTGAAAATAACTTTTGCAAAGGGCAATGTGCCAATGTTAGCATCAGGTCGTTCGGACGCCCACGCTGCACTCCATTTCCCCGCGCGTGCTTGCACTCCACGCCCCGCGTTCGTGCCAGCACGCCTCCGCCCGTGCCTGCGTTTCGCGCGATCACATAGGGCCCACGCCGCCCGGACATCGCCGTCGCTGCCAGACTGCGCGTGAGGACCGTTGACGCCCCCTCTCGCTTCCCACGCGCATATCATGTGCAACACCCGATCTACTTTTGAAACATTTAGATGCAGCACTTGCAACACACGTCTGACGACAGATGAAACACTTCAAACATGCTTCTGAAACACTTGCCAAAAAACACCTAAAAAAATGCTTGAAAACCATTTCAAACATATGCAACATCAAGATAAACACAGTTGCAACATACGTCCGAAAACACAGATGAAATATTGGAAACAAACGCTTGCAATACGTGTACAACCTTTGCAACATATGCAACATCTAGATCTACTTTTGCAACACATCTGAAACACTTACAACATATCTCTGGAACATCTAAAACACTTAAAATATACGCTTGCAACATATGCTTTTCACCCTTCTTCTGTGCGATGCAGAGCAGAGCAGGGAACGGCCGGTTCTGGCCAGCCGACGACCAAGGATGGTGGCGCGGCCTAGCGAGGCCAGTGTGCTCAGGTGCTCGGTCTCAGGTGCACGCCAATGACGGCCCCTCTCTAGCTGCCTAGCCACGTGCGGTGCCGTTCTTTTCTTGGCAGCTGCTTCTTGGGTTGGCCAAGCCAGCTAGCGGCACCGACGAGTGGCCAGACTCGAGCGGCAGCGAGGAGGCTCGCCGGCTCGGTGGAGACGGCCACGGCGAGCGGACAGCATGGTGCGGCGATGGAGAATGCCGCAAGGTGGAGTCGAAAAGTGTCGCAGCGTCCAGGTTTTTTAAAGCCGTCGAAGGGTCCAGTTAATTAGGTAGATGGGAGTAGACTTGTTGAGCCGGTCCGTAGGCCCATTAAGGGGTGTCCGGGCGGACGGACACACTCGCCATAGCATTTCCTTGTTTTATTGTAGTTCTCATTTGCCCAAGTGCCTCCACTGTATCTGTTTACACCAAAATTTGGGAGAAAAGAACGTGGAAACTCGCAGGCTTCCAAGATTGTGCCAATCAAAGAAGATCGATGTCAGCCACGACTTTGAAATCAGGTCTCTTGGGATGACGTCAGCGGATAGCGATGATGAACTACGGTTGACACCAGAAAACTACATATCCGATTCTACAAAAAGGGAAAAATTAGAGTCCAAGTTATCTTAAATTAGAAATATTTTCGTTTATACCAAGGATTCAGGTTTAGACTCTGGGTATAAATATCAGACCCCGGCTATTGTAAAGAATAATAAATCAATCAAATACACAAGTTATTTACTTTTTCAGCTCCGACCACCCTTAGGAGTAGGAGTATAGTAGATCTCGGCGAGTTCTTCAGCAAGTACGGCTGCATCGATCCGGTCGACCTTCACTACCTGTTGTAAGTGCCGTCATAGCTTATACCTCTGTTCGTATGGCTGCATTGATCCGGTCGACCTCCACTGCGACTCTGGTATAAGTTAGTTATCGATTCTTGCCTAGTTCAAGTATGGCTGCATCGATCCGGTCGACCCCAACTGCATGAACTAGATCAAGGTCAAGTTATCGGCTCTACCTTAGGATGGCAGTCTTTGGTAGATTCATTAAGTTATCGATATTGTTTATTGCTTTTATTATTTATCTAATTACAGCAATATCATTCTGGTCGATTGGGATTAATCTAGATCGGCCTTATATCTTGTTTAGCCATCGTTTGCTAACCTTAAATTGATCTAATCTATACCTTAGATGATGAGTTATGTTTTATCGGTTGTTTTATGTCAATCCTGATCGTGCATAGCGTGCGGTTAAGGCGTGTTGCGTCTTGAGTAGATTTATTGGCTAGCGAAAACCGTTCCATGGCCCGTTATTACGGCCTATGTGATTCTGCCTCACACCCCACTGTTAGCACCGTGGAGTGGGGACCATTATCTGGTAGATCTATTCCTGATAAGGCATAACTTTAACTGTGCGCTATGCTTGAATCGGCTGTTTTAGCCGATATCGAGTGCTTTCACGAACAGTTCGCATCACGAGACCGTTGAAGTAAAGATATATTGAAAGATATGTTAGCCCCATGATCTTATTATTGTATTACGGCCTACATGATTTTGCCTCATGCCCCACTGATATTAGTAATGAGTTAGGGTCGTCGATTCTATTGTTATTTCTACAGCCTGCATGATTCTGCCTCATGCTCCACTGGTCGTAGTGATTGATGAGATCTAACATGTTTATTAGATTTATCTTTATTAAACGGTTAAGTGATGTTGAATTGTTTCTTTATATAAAAGAGGGTTCGGTTACTTATAATCATTGGCTCAGCACAAACCGATCATTGTTGACATGTTATTGCCATTGATTAATATTTGTTCGATCAATGATATTTAGCCTGAATGATAACCGATTCTTCTTATACAACCCAATGAGCTTTAATCGATTTATTCTCATGAATATGCTGGAATCGACTATTTAGTCGATCTCCTTTCATATCGGCTCTCATAGCCGCATATTCGGGACTGTCTGGCAATACCGGTAAATTCCGCCCTTAATTACTGATGAACTCTCTCCTTGTCAATTACAGGGTCAAATTGACTGGCACGTCTCGGGAGCAATGCGCAGGATCGACTACCCTTGCGTTGAAGCTAGACGGAGGACCCTTCCAACTTGCTGCGTGTGTCCTCGGCACGGAACGAAAATTCTGTGTCGACAGTATCCATCTATACGTACAAACTCCCTAGTGCTATCACTGATCCCTGACACAAGGATACTATTGTATCTCCTCTCTTTCTTTCTTTCTTTCCAATCCTTTATGT